CCTACGCACAATCGGTGAAAATTTCGGTTCATATTTACAGGTAAACTACAAAGACTTCTACATGTTCTCTCGCGTGTTATCTCCTGAAGGTCATGTGATCATGTGACCATGGGGGAACCCGCTGAACAGATAAACTGTGTCAGTATCTAGGATACCTCAAGCGCTAAAAACATGGCGACTACACTGTCATGAAAATATTGATTTCAAATGTAATTTTCTCGCAAACTTGGGGAATCTAAGCCGTGAAAATGCAACTTCGGTACATGAAGACTCTTCTAAGTCCGCAGGTAATTGTAAAAATGACGATCTCTTTCCTAATTTTGTTGTAGAACTACAATTATTATAAAGTTTTCATCATAAACACCAGCTGGTGCAGCTACCATTTTGATAGTTTTGATGCGATCAGTTGCTCAGATAACCTACACACAAAACCAGCTGGAATATCAGGCTGTCAGTGATACTTTCTCTGCCTTTTCTTGGCTTAGAATGTCGTCGTGCTTTCGATATGGATCCTATTTAGGTTTGCCCATGATCAATCTGGAAGTACAATAATCATTATAAGATTCGATAAGATAGTAAATATTAAATTAACATTAGTTTCATTTACAGCAATGAGCCCAAAAATGTGACCACTTTTAATTAATCCACATTCTTTCGTCCGTGCAGACTATCCAATTGCAAGCCGAAGATAACCATTCTCAGCTTCTGATTGGATAGTAGCGCGCACAAAAATAATGTGAATTCATATCAAAAGGTCACACTTTTGGGCTCCTCCCTGTAAATGTCTCCAAACATTTTGAAATTATATCAGCATTGGAGCAACATTGATTAGGTGGAGGAGGGTTGACTGGGGTTGATGTGGTTGGGGGGCGGGGGCAGGGTGTACATCCCACACCGAAGATCTATACGCCAAGGTGTTAAAAATTCATTCTAGACCTATCACCAGCTTACGTCAAGCACTGTCTTGAAAGTATGGCAAGGACTTTGAGCATATGCCAGTATGCCACATGTTTTTGAAAACCCATGGCAAAGATCAAAGGTGGGAGAGGGTTGGGTGGTGAAATATAAACTATATAATGTATTGTTGATTTGATGCAAGATGCAAGTGTGTCTGAATTGTTTTTGTATCAGATTACAGTTTTTATAGGTAATAAAGACTGATCATCCATTATTCAATGAAGAAGTAAATGGCAACCTACACTAAGAATAGTTGTATCATGTATCAGATCAAAGGTTAATTATACAAAAACATTTTAGAGATTTGCTTTTCAATATTTCAGGATGGAGCCTGCAAGGTGACGGCAATGACATGGTCACCAAACAATACCAAAAATGGCGGTGGTCACAATGGACAGAGTTGTTATACTGTACGATGAGCTTGGTGAGAGAAGAGACAAGTTTTCAACAAAACCAGCAAATTCACAGGTATTTCCTAAAGGGCTATGGATAAATACTGGATAACACTCCCTATTTAGACTGTGAACAGTCCCTCTATTTTTTTGCGCTGAAAATCGTCGCAGTGTCACGATCGATCGTGGAGCCGCCATCTTGGATTAGCCACGAGAAACCAAGATGGCGGCCCCTCGAACTCTGCGATCTACCTCTACAACAACTCGGGAAAATAGGGGACTGTGAACAGTCAACTCCCTATTAAATTCCCCTGGGCTACTACCCAGGAAATTGGACTGCCAAGAGTACAAAGAAAATCTTTGACCCCGGTAGGATTTGAACCTCCTGATTAGATCACCGTCGCTCTAACCAATAATAAAATATTGAGCTACGTACAAGGCCAGATGGGAGCACTGCAGGTCATGTTAATTTGATAGGTAGATAATAACTTTAGGTATGGGTAACAAGTCGGTACATAACTGTTTGTACAGAACTGTCTTTTGACAATAATAATTATTTAATTATTTTTTGTTCTACATATTTTCTCAGGCTGGAAAAAAGAGCTACATTGTGAAAGGGCTTGCCTTCTCTCCAGATTCCACCAAGATTGCCGTGGGACAAACAGACAAACATTATATTTGTCTATAAAATTGGAGAAGAATGGTATGATTTACTCTCAAACACAATTAACTCTTGAAAGTATTGCGGCCATGATAAATTTCTAAAAATTATTGCACCTGAGTGTATTATTAGTGTAAGGGCTCGATTATCCAGGAGGAATGAAGACCGCACTTGAGAGAGCGGCAGAAATAGAACTAGTAGTAGGTGAACTAAACCACGAGTAGTCCCTCATTTTTTGTCACCTCTATGTGTCACGTTTCCTCATACAGTATAGGATGTGATTTCCACTTGCTTGTTGCATGCTGGCGCGCTTGCTCCCTGAAAAAAAAATGAGGGACTTCTCATAGGCTATAGGTGAACTGGCTTATTTGCCAAATTTGTGGAAGTAGCCATGAATAATTTAAGAACTTTTAATTATTGTATTAATAATAGTTCCATCTGTTATTTTCAGGGGTGAGAAAAAAAGTTATCTGCAACAAGTTTGTACAGCAGGTTTGTTAATATATTATAAGCTTAATCTTACAATCTTTTCACTCACGATGTCATGAAATTTATTTCTTATGAGATCCGTAGATCTGGCATTGCCTTAATGAGTTGTATTGTTGGTCAAGACACTAACGTATCGGTCTTTCCTTGCTTTTTGCATTGCAGAGTGCTGTCACATGTTTGATATGGCCACCTGAGCAACAAAACATTGTCTTTGGACTAGCAGATGGAAAGGTAACCTTATCTTAGTTAATTTATTAATTAATTAGCATAATCAATTCAGGTCTCTCTATGGGTATCTATACCTAATATTAGTAGTAAAAAAATTACATTATTTATTTATTTTTCATGCTATACCTCCAACTTTCACAGGTCCGTATTGCAAACCTTAAGACCAACAAAATCAACAACACTTTACGGAACTGACAACTATGTTATTTCTCTGGCTGCAAAGTAAGTTTTATTACGGTATTATAATACAGGATGGTGTGTTTAGTCTATCAGACTATGGCATGCAAGGAAACATAATTTCAAAAGAAGCATACATGTGTATGAATTACATGTACATTTGTGCAATTAATTAAAGTCAATTTACTTGTTATTTAGTGAGACAGGTTGGGCCATTTAATATTTATTAAATATTTAATAATTACTGTTACAGTGTATCTGGAAAAGGAATTATCTCTGGTCATGTTGATGGTGCTATTGTCAGATACTTTTTTGACGACGAGGGAACAGGCTTATCACAGGTAATGGTTTCTTTGATTAATATACTATTAATATTTAATTAAATACAGGGTATAACTTTAGAAACCTTAGTACCCAGTGTTATTTTCGAGTATGTTGCTAATTAATAATTTTTACTGCTTACTAATGTCGACATGTTCTTTGGGTTATTTAAATTCACAAGACAAGACTTTAGTGTCATTATTAATTTTATGATTGACACAATGACCAAATCCACCGGTAGCCACTTATAATAGGGCTTCAAAGTTCTGTAAAATTCATGTTTTTGATAACAGTCACCCCTCCTTCAAAAATCCTGGATCTGCCCCTGAGGGTCCTGCAAGGAGCCTTGAAGCACAATGGAACTTGACTCTAACTGGAATTGTGGTATTGGCTGGTACCAGTAATAATAATCATTGCAATTATTGCAATGACTATTTTTCTTCATTAATAATTTTAGGGTCAGTTATGTAAACATCCCTGTTCTCCTTATGCTCTGTGTTGGGGCTCGTCAATTGTGGCCGGAGGATGCGACAAAAGGATCATAGCTTATGGAAAAGAAGGTGAAGCCAATCAACATGCTAACATTCTCTTCTGCTTTGTACGGAGTGGATAGAAATCTTTAACTTTTCTCCAGTCTTCATTGATTCTTTTAATGAAAGCTTTTCAGAAATGAGTTAATGCACTACTGTCATAAATGTTTGGCACAATTTTGAGAAACTCATAAACATATAAACAAATTATTTTTAACCTTTTCACTCGATCCCAAGAGTGCTAAGTTCAAAACTGAGAAATACAGGATACCTAGTGATATCGATAATCCCTTGCAATATTTTGTTTTCTTTGTAAATTCACCTTTTCCGTTTCTAGGGAGGATTTTACAGAACTTTGACTACACCAGAGATGACGATGAAAAAGAGTTTACTGTGGCAGTCTGCAGCCCCAGCGGACAGTCAGTGGTGGTTGGAAGTTTTAACAGGTGTGAAATTCAATTAAGTGCGCAACACAAGCTGTGATGGACATTAATTGTTTAGTCAACCACTGGAACTTAAATTTCTTAATAAGCCCCTTTCTCTAATAAGACCACATTCCCAAGATGGCAACCCATGACAATTTACAAACAGGAAAACAATGATTTTTGGTAGGAGTTACTGTGTGCCTTTAAAAGTTATCCATCCACCTAATTTACTCTTTATTGCTGATCATTAAATACATGTAGATAGAAATAAATATTAAAAAGTCCCCTTCATCTCTTTCATATGTGCCCTTGCTGATTTGTGATTTAAAATAAGAATTGAACCCCCTCTCTAATCAGCTCCCCTGCTCAGGCCTGTCTGTTAAGCCCCCTCCCCTCTTCCCCACCCCCTCAAGAGGTCTTGAACAGAACCCTCCCCTAGTGCTGCCTCTCTCCCCTCTTGATTTCCTTTTGGTACTGTAGGAAATTCTTCATTGAGCTAATAGTGACACAGAGACACTGTAATTTCATACAATTCTTAGTTTCCTTTCCCTTGTTTAGGCTAAGAGTGTTTAACTGGAGTCCAAGAAAGGGTTCTTGGGATGAATCTAAGATCAAAGAAATTCCAAATCTTTACACCATCACCGCCATGGCTTGGAAAAAAGATGGATCCAGACTTGTTGCTGTAAGTGTTTTGCTCATTGTCTTCATATCCACTTGGATCATATTCTCTCAATAATATTGAAAGTGCAGAAAAATTACACTAAATAAATTTTATTTGTTTACTGTCATTTTTCTTCACTCTTTCAATTTTGTGTCTTGTGGCTTCATAGCTCAGTTGGTAGAGCATCACACTTAGTCTAGTAATGTGGAGGTCATGGGTTCAAATCCTGTTGAAGCCCCAATTTTTTTTGTTTGCAAAAATTGCATTCATACAATAGCTGCGATGATCACTTAATTCATTTAATTTGTGTTGTCTGTTAACAAAATTAATGCCGGACTTTTACTTGGACACGCCATTATTGACGCAAGGTTTATGCCACTAAACAATATACATGAGATTTACACATGTATACACAAAATATGTTTTTTTTAACTCCTGAATATTTTTTTATTGAAGGGTACTCTGTGTGGTGGGGTGGAAACTGTTTGACTGTTGTCTGAGAAGATCAGTTTACAAGAACAAGTTTGAAATGACCTATGTTGGACTCAGCCAGGTATGGAAAACAACTTTCAAGAGGAAAAGCCAAGTAAAACTATTTAATGGTGTGGTGGATCTAGGGGAGGGGACCTTTATGAATTATTAATGAGTGTTGTGATAAATTATTATTATTATTATTGCAGGTCATTGTCAAGAACTTGTCCTCAGGCACACGTGTTGTCCTCAAATCACATTATGGATATGAGGTATTGTCCTTTCTTGGACTGAGATTTGCAAAATGAACTGGTTGCAGAATGGTTCATATAAAATGATATCTCGGCAAATTTTAGCTGTCTTGAAATCCCAACATCGGTTACAGCAAAATTGCCTTAGCCAAGTCTCAAGTTCGATTCTTTTTCTTCTCAATCAGTGAATCTTGTATTTTACTATTGTACACACCCCTAGATTAAAATCAGCGCTGTTTTATTTTATTTGATGTTTAAACATCTCTACAATGTGTGTAAGTACTAAATATAGTTGTTCAATAACTAGATGTGATCTTCTACTCAGGTACATTGTAACTAAGAAAACTAAAAACATTTTTAGAAGTTCCAAACTTTGGTGATTTTACCATCTCCCTCCCTGGCTTAGCCTGTGAGAGCAGCCAGTTTTCTCGGCTCTTGAAACAAGAGCCGAAAAAACCGGCTGCTCTCACAGGCTATCCATGGCTTGGTATGCAGACTGACCTGTGGTTTTTATATAACTATTGAGTGTTTTTTACTGTTGTAGATTGATAAAGTGAGCATTATGGGTAAGGACAGATATCTTGTGGCATATACAACGGACACTCTCCTTGTAGGAGACCTTACACATAATAAGCTGAGTGAGGTGAGAACTTATAATAATGATTCCATAATCCTACATTTCTTTTACTGCACATGCAAAATTTGCCTTAGTGTGCTACGTTTGTGCTATGTTGCAGAAGGTCTCATTCAAGCCTCAAAGATCACAGACTGCAATAGTGTGAAATATTTTCTCCCTCTTTTTTTCCAGGTTCCTTGGCAGGGCACTGGTGGAAATGAAAAGTTCTTTTTTGAAAACGAAAATGTATGTTTATAGTGGAATTAGCCTGCATGGCAGGCGTATAAAGGGGAGGGAGGGGGGGGGGGGAGTTCGAGAGTGAAGTGCGAGGAAAGAATCGTGCTTTGCACTCTTTCCTCACGCTTCGCACTCAAACTCCCCTTTATACACCTGCCACGCAGGCTATAGTGGAATTTGTGGTTCTGGTTTGGATCAACCATTTCCAGTTGGTTGTTTTCATTGGGGTGTGTTCTGTCAGGAAAAAATATTACCAGTCCATCCCAGTAGAACACATTGTGATGGTTATCAATTGACTGAAAACAATAATTAGAAAGTGTTATACTGGTCACTTCAACCAAATCAGCCAAAGTTGGTTTGTGGTGTAAATGGTTACGCAGTTAGTCAGGTGAGAGAAAGTAAATTGAGCAAAATCAGCACAACAAACATTAAAAATATTAAGAACGGGCAATTGTTTTGTTGGGCTGATTTTGCCTGATTTACTTTGTCTCGTCCAGAATAACGCCCCTGGGTCTCTGAGGATGATAGAACACAGACCGGTTAAGATTATGTTGAATTGACTGTAGATCACATGTGGTGGAACAAAAGTGTCAAGTTAAAGATAAAAAAGAACTTGACTAAGCATATTATTATTACTGCCGTAGCAGAAGAGATAATTTGTTTCCATGTTGCTTTAGGTCTGCATGGTTTTCAATGCTGGTGAGCTGTCTCTGGTTGAATATGGAAACAATGAAATTCTTGGAACTGTGAGAACGGAGTTTATGAACCCTCATTTGATCAGGTAAAGCTTGTTCATGTAGATATTTAGCCCACTGAAAATACATTCTGTTTATTGACTGATTAAGTGCGTTAACTTTGGATTCATTTTGCTGTATGGCACGGCACAGTGGTATTAAACACCAATGATATTACATACGTTTGAAGTAACTTCTCTTAATGTCTTTTTTGCTAGTGTCCGACTGAATGAAAGGAAGCAAAGAGGTGTTGACAATAACAAAAAGATGGCATACCTTGTAGACCTCAAGACAATCACTGTTGGTAAGTGACCAAAGTAATTTATTAAAAAGCAATGTCTGTTATATAAACATAGTCAAAACAATTTTTGTATAATTTTTTTTTTCATACTATTCACAGTGAGCTCTGTATTAATAATTTAATATCATCTAATTTTATTTTTCCAGTTGATATGGCAACCGGATTCAACATTGCAACAGTTAACCATGATTCAAGAATTGATTGGCTGGAGGTGAGAAATTACCCTGATAAGAACCACATGATGTCACCATCATTATCCTTCATTTACTCAGTCTGAAGATTAATTTTCATTTTGGTAATCTCTTAAGTACCTCCAACACATGCTAAGAAATTGCACAGTCAGGCACTTGTGAACACACTGTACTATATAACAAGCCATTTGTAGCTAGGGGTCACTTCCCAACCTGGCCCAGTCTTTTGTGTTCATTCAGCTGTGAAATGATTTGGCTTATGCAAGGCTCCCTGCACTTACCAACGGTTATGTTTTTTACTGGGTGTTCTGATTGGTTTATATCACTATAGGTGATTGCTTCTGTGATTATTTTCATTTTATGTTTTTGTGACATTCAGTGTACCACATTGTACTTTAAATCATTTTGTTATTTGTCATAATAAAAACCTAACAAATTGTAACTATTTTCTTAGCTCAATGAAACTGGAAGGACGCTGCTTTTTCGAGACAAGAAACTAAAGGTGAGTTCTTGTTAACCTGTGATGGATGGACTGTTATCTCATTCAGGGGGAGTAGTAATTCTTCCAGTTTCATTCTATGGTCTGGATCAGCCACTAACCTTAGCAGCAGACTTTATTAACCGTGGTGTTAATTGCATTTTAGCTCCATCTCCTGGATGTGGAAACACAAGTGCGTACAACAATCCTGAACTACTGTACATATGTTCAGTGGGTGCCTCTCAGTGACGTGGTAGTGGCCCAAAACAGAGGGAACCTGTGCGTGTGGTACAATATTGACTCACCCGAGAGAGTCACCATGTTTCCTATTAAGGTAAGGAGCCTTGTAAGGGTTATCTCAATCCAGCAACAGGCACCATTTTACAGCTGGGAGTGACAGGACGTACAGTATAGTCCAGCTTGTCTTCTCGTCATTATGACAAAATAGCAAATGACAGACAAACCAAGGCATCATGATTGTTACTGGGATTAGGCGCTATGAACGGTCTGCTGTTTTGGCCTTGTTTGTAAGATATGAGTGAAATATCTGGGAAGAGGGCAAAACTATGTAGGCTACGGTTACTATCACCAGCACTGCTCAACCGAGAGACGCCCAGGAACTATTTTTTAAAGGGTCAGAAACTTATGAAGCCTATGAATCCGGACGGATTTCCGCCGGCAAACATTAAGAACAGCAACGCAGGTTATCAGAAACTGTGTAGGTGGATGTTATCTCTTATGCGGACTGTTTCAAACTATCTTTACAGGGAGACATACTTGATCTTGAGAGAACTGATGGCAAGACAGAGGTTCTGGTCAATGAAGGAGTGACTACCATCTCTTACACTCTAGATGAAGGATTGATTGAGTTTGGCACAGCCATTGATGATGGAGATTTTCCAAGGTGCATAATGAGTCCTTGTTGTCACTTCGTAATTCATATGGGTTATTATTGTATCGTCTCGGTCCATAAACACGCAAAAAAAGACTTGGCCAATATCCCGCTCATCTTGGGGTGATCGAACAAGCTTGGTCAATAAAGGATTTATTATATGACTAGAAGGGCGCGGGAAAGTAGTCTTCTTGTGGGAACAGAGCGGGTAATCCTGAGCAGTCAAGATGGCTCCATCTTGACCGTGCGGGTAGCCAATCACAGCACAGGATTTGTTTCATCTTGCCCGCTCATAGAGCGAGCCTTATAATAACTTAGTTATTAACTTTGTGTGGTATTTTATCTTTTCAGGGCTGTAGCCTTCCTTGAGAGCCTGGAGATGTCCTTGGAAACGGAAGCCATGTGGAAGACACTGAGCCGCCTCGCACTGGAGGCGAGGCAGCTGCATATTGCCGAGCGCTGTTTTGCTGCTCTGGGTGACGTGTCCAAATCAAAGGCTTTACGACAAGTAAACAAGATCGCCGAACAGTCTGCGGAAGAAATGGTAAGCCCGGCTCTTTACAAAGGATAAAGGCTTTATTTTAGTTTTAAAAACGGAATACCAGGTCAGCTGTCATGTGCCAAATGGAATATTGAAGCTTAGGTTGATCACCAGCGACCCACCACTAACCAAGAAGCTTGAAGACTCTAGGAGATTGAGGGCGGATTGTTTAAGGTTACATGTTGTTTTTTTTTCTAGGGCGGTGATGGTACAAATCACGTGCGTGTACGAGCCAAGCTGGCAGTGCTGGATAAGAACTTCAAGATGGCGGAGAGCATTTTGCTGGAGCAAGGATACGTGGATGAAGCCATCGAGATGTACCAGGAGCTGCACAAATGGGACGAGGCTATTGCTGTAGCTCATGCTAAGGTATGGAGAAGGTGCAGGTTGACTGAGTGGTGAGTGAGCGGAAGGTGGGGACAGGGGGCTGGATGGGGGGAGGGGGGGGGGGGGGGGAGAGCAGGTTTACGTGGTTTCAGGGCCAGATATTCCTGTCAGATACCCGACATACGCTTATGACAGCCAG